TTGTGCATGTTTGTACTACCCACGAGTCATACAGGATCTTGCGTTCAGGCTGTGTGTTCACGGTTTAAGTTCGACCCGATGGTCACTTGTAACTCCAGCCAGTGCTCCGAGCTCTTCTCTTCCTGGTTTACCTTAAAGCCTTAAGAACCCAAAACCCCACTTTTTTGTAGGTTCTTATTATAAACCCTAATATGGGATTCATAGGGACCCTACAAGAAAAAGGAGGTTTTGGGTTCTTAAGGTAGTACTTCAACTGAGCCGTAACCGCCCACGATCGCGAGTCACGCTCGGGTCCTCGAAACGTGGATGCCCGAGAACGATACTCTTGGAACACCCAGGTCCCGGGGTTTAGGGTAACCCTTAATTTAGGGTTTAGGGTTTAGGGTTTAGGGTTTAGGGCCCGACACAGGTCTTAAACAAAGGCTACAATCAACTCCTGGGCCGAAATCAGCCATTCATGTCCGCAGCTTAGCTTGACCCCGAAACCCCAAACCCCAAGCCCTGATCAACCCGAAACCCCAAACCTGCAGCCCTGTCTGAAGATGAGGGTTTAGGGTTTAGGGCTTTTAGGGTTTAGGGTTTGGGCTTAACCCCAAACCTGCAGCCCTGTCTGAAGATGAGGGGAGGGTGATGGGTAAAGCAAGCAGTTGTACTTGTCGCTTCAGAGCCCAAACCAGGTGCAAACAAGTCGACTTCCTGAGTCCAGTGATCCTCCAAATACTCTGAAATGATAGGAACCCTGATATCACTATACTACCCTAAACCCTAAACCCTCTCTTATATAAATGATAGGAACCCTGATATCACTAAACTACCCTGAACCTTATAATCCCTAATCAGTATGCGAGCCCATATAAGGGACAACTTGGGAGCTGTCCACCCCGCAATTCGGTCCTGGCAGACAAACTCTGCTTCCTCCAGAAGAACAGGAAGGCACCGACCAGAATCACAGCCAGGATAGCTGCACCGACCTCCCAACCATAGATTGCGGGGTTTGGCGTAGGGCTTAGAATTCATGGTTTAGGGTAGCTGCACCGACCTCTCCTAAAGGGGTTCAGGGGGTTCGGGTTTAGGATTGTTGGGTACGTGAGGCTTTGACCGGCTGACGGAGTGTCGCAGCTTTGCAGAAAACTACACCGAAATCTCAAGAACTTCGAAACTCGATGAAGTAGAGCTAAAACTGGAAAAGGAAGATGACACTTGATACCGTTCTTCCCCGCTTCGTGTTTTCAAACATACTTCGCACTACTTGATCAAACCCTAAACCCTAAACCCTAAGCCCAAGCCCCTATACCCGAAGGTCTTGAACATCTCAAACCAAAGTCAGCTCACACGCTGCCGTTCTGCAAGCCAAGTAGCCCGCAGGTTTAGGGTTTAGGAGTTTAGGGTTTAGGGGTTGAAGGTTTAGTTAAGGGTTTAAGGGCTTTGGGTTTAAGGTTTAGGGGTATTCGGGTTTACGCTTTAGGGGCTTAGGGTTTTGGGTGTTTGGGGTTCAGGGCCTTCTGAAGCCATACGTCTTTCAACTGAGAGAGATGACCAGTGTAATTTCAGCTAGACTTTGAAGTAACCAGGGAGAAAACCAGCACCCCCGAAGTACCCTTCAATAGAGCTTTTATGGTCCTTAATAGTGGGTATGTTGGGTATAATAGAGGGAAGTTGGGGGGTCTAGGAAAGTATAGACTTTAATTTCATAATGGTTCCCTTAAGGAACAGGTCCCCAAAAAGTGTACAAGTATGGTACTCCAGAACCCAGTCACGGGTCCTCCCCAACTAAGGGTTTAGGGTTTTCGGAATTCGGGTCGCGACGGCAACCACCACTCTCTGGGCTTAGGGTTCAGGGTTTAGGGTTTAGGGTTCAGGGATTAGTGTTTAGGGTTTAGGGATTGGGGATTAGGGTTTAGGGTTTAGGGAAACTGTGGATTCTTCATGGATTACGCGTTCCGTTTCGTCTGTACGTTGGCATTAGAGCCGCGTGTTTGCTGAAACTTCCTGGCATGTCAAGGCTCGGCGCCGAAGCTCGTATGTTAATCGAAGCCCATCCTCCGCAGCAATACACAAAACTCCACACTTTAAAAACCCTCAAACCATCCAAAACCCTCAGCCCTAAACCGCAAACCCCAAAGCCGTCAAACCGCAAAATCCTCAAAGTTAGGGCCGATAGGTTCCGAACCACACTTAGTTTCCTTAAGCTCGAAATCCTCAACCTTAAGCCCCCTAAGCCCGAAAACCCCTAAACACCCCATACACTCTACGCTGGACCCTTCCTACCATGAACTCAACCCTCCCTAAGCCCTACCTTTAGGACGAAATGAACCCCAAAAGAGTTTAAGGTCCATACACCGTATAGGGATTCATAGTATAAGGGTATAGGGCCCCTACTTTTAAGGGTCATTTCGTCCTTAAGGTAAGCCCCTAAACCCTAAACCCTAAACCCTAAACCCTAAATTTTGTTCTTGAGGTAAGCCCCACCAGGCCTGAATGTGCCGGCGCAGGCCTTCGGCTGCGCCGGTGCATCGCAAACAACGGCCGGCGCTGCTGCGGTAGGATTCGGCGCAGGCGGTGCACAGGGGGCCTTCATATCCTGGATAGGGTTTAGGGTTTAGGGTTTCGGGAGTAGGCAGCGGAAGCTAATGGCTGCCTGGGTCACCTGAAAACTCCTTTGTAAGGGGTTGTATAATTTCCGGGGACGAGAAGTAAAAACAAAAAAACATAATGTTAACCATACTGTGACAACCAACATGACCATGATGATGATAATAGCAGTCGTCGTCATCATCATCATCATCATCACCACAACCGCAATCACCATCATCATGATCATGATCCTGTCCATCAACCATCAGCATGATGATGACGAAGATGATGATGACGATGGTCGCCAGCAGTATCACCATCACGACCACAAAACAACAAAACAACAAACATCCCAAAACCGATAATGGTGCTAAATATTATCGTGACAATGGCAGCAATCATGAACCATAATGAATACAGTAGGAATAATAAGGAAAACATGAACACACTGACCATACTGAATATAATAACAAATAATAATTAACAGCAGCAGTAGTATCTTAACAATAACAGCTGTTGTCTTTGTAGTATTGTTAGTATCACCCTTTTTGCTGCTATAACAACAGCAACATGAAAGCTGACAATATTGAAACAGTAATGGTGGCAGCAATAACCAGCATCATCGTAGCCGCGACAGCCATAAGAATTCATATATGACTCACGATAACCATAATGTGCATGATCGTAATAATAAGCCTACAAACCATGAACCACGATGGTCAGACGACAACAACGACGACGAGACGACGAGACGACGACGACATGACAACATCTGACTGTAGAAAGCACCAGCAACAACAACCACAGTACTAATGATAACAATAACAAGAACAGTAACAACAAGCACAGCATACAGTAATAATGACAGGCATAAAGGCAACACTTTCTGTGGCACTACGAGAATAACAGCAACAGCCACCGTCATAATTGCAATGAAGCTGATGTCAACACGAACAATAATCGTAATATCCCACTCATAGTAATGATGCCGTGAAAGATAGTGATAGTTATACCGGAGGGGTGGGTGTAGACGTTTAAACCCCCCCGTGTTCCTTGCAGGCGAGGAAACCTGTAGGATGCAGCAGCATTATTCAGGGTTTAGGGTTTAGGGTTTGAGGTTATTAAGCTTCCACTCATGAAGAGTCCGAAATTGCTATACAGCACCAAGGGGGACGAAGGATGTACAAAAGAATACAACCCCTGCGCTGCGGAAACGAAGAGGCCGCGGGGTCGCAGCTCTGGTAGAGCAGCCCCAGGGACTGCACAACCCGGGCCTGACATCGCTAACAACGCGACGGACCGAAACGCTGCCGAAGCAAACCTGTATCAGAGGAGACGAAAGCAAACAGCTCCTCATGCAGCCTCACTGTCCGACTGGCCCTCCGAAAACGAAAGCAAACAGCTCCTCCTGCAGCCTCACTGTCCGACTGGCCCTCCGAACTCCGAAACATCTGGTAACGTCAGGACCGATAGTGGGGTCATGGGTCAGCCAACGGCGGCTCGTGGACGGGCGTTTCAGGGATCCGACGCAGTACCGCCCGGGCGTTCTCCCGCTGCAGAGAGATCGCCAGGGCTTGGTACAAGCGGTCAGACTCCTGAGACACCGGTTCCCCTGTCCGCAAAGCCAGCGCCGCAGCCAACTCTTTCCAGGTCCGGACTGCGGAAGGGGCCCAGTCACCGCTAGCCTCCACAACCAGCGGGATGAAT